GATAATTATATTCAATTAGTAAATATTTGTAAATACAAAATAATATTTAATATAAATAAATTTAACTATAACATAATATTATATATATTAATCAAGATTATATAAAAAAGATTATATATACAAAAATCTAAAACACAAGCTAAATAAAGATACAACACATATAATAATAAAAATTAAAGAAATTAAATACATAAAATGTTAATAATAAAAAATCACTTTATAATATATTATAATTAATTATACATAAACAATTATATTTAATATATTTACTTTATAAACACAATCTTGTATAAAACATTACATAATACATATAATTTAATAGATATTGTCAAATAAACGAAATTAAATACATAAATATACTTCAATTCCATGTAATTCATAAAAATACTTGAAATATATAAAAAAAAAATTTAAGTAGTAACATATATGAGAGTTTATTGATAAAGAAAAATATAAATAAAATTGAAAATTAAACTACCAATAAATTGAAATGACTAGTACCTTTTATTTCAAGTAACATATTAAAGGAAGAGGAAGAGGAATGGAGAGAACAAGAGAAAAGCAAGAAGGAAGGTAGAAGAAATGAAGATGAAACGGAAAAGGAAAAGGAAGAGGAAAAGGAGAGAAGAGGAAAGGGAAGATTAAGATGAGAAAGTGAAATATATGAGTGGAGTAAAAGAAGAGAGGAGAAAAAAAAAGTGAATTTGGATAAGGAATGAGAAAAATGAAAGAGAAGAAAGAAGAAGATGTGAGAAAATGTTGAGGAAGGGAAGGTTGGAGGTTTATATAGATAAATATTATTTTTCACAGCTGTGTTGGAAAATAATGTGGACGGGATTTTAAAAATTTTACAAGGAAAAAATGGCACTTGAATGTTGGGCTTCAAAATTCAGATAAAGTTATTTTCCAACACTAAGCACTAGAAAATAATATAGGCATGATTTTCAATTTTTAAAATAAAAGATACTTGAATATTTGACTCCTAAACTTCTTAATAAACTTATTTTCCAACACTAACCGCTAGAAAATAACCTGATCGATTGCACGTGAGTATTTTCCAACACTTGATACTAGAAAATAACTTGAACCAATTAGATAAACAAAGAGTATTTTCTAGCGTTTGGCGGCAGAAAATAACTTGAATAACCTAAACCAATTGGACAGAGTATTTTCTAGCACTAAGCGCTAGAAAATAACTTGTACAACTTAAGCATGGTTATTTTCCAGCACTTAACACTAAAAAATAACTTGCACTCCATTTCTACTATTTAACTATGAAGATTCTAAATATTTTCCAATCTTTTGCGTTGGAAAAAAAGAGGAAAATATTTTTTTGTTTTTGAAAATTTTCTTTGTTAGCAACAACACCAAAAAAACCAACGCTGAAAAATAAGAAAGCGCCAAATCAACTTATGGCGCTAAATTATCTTCTAATACTCAGTGCTAGAAAATGAGCCTCACTTCAAAATTATTTGTAAATTTTAGATATTTTATATCAAATTTTAATTTTCAATGCTTAGCGCTGGAAAACAGTTTGTTGAAAAAAATCAAATTTCTAGTAGTGAAAGTGAAAAAATAAATAATTAAAATTTTATATAAATATAAAGTATAAAATTTTTATATAAATTAATTTTTAATTACTCAAATAATAATTATTAATTGTTTGATCATCTATTAATTAATACTTATAATTATTAATTATTTTTAATAATTAAATTAAATTAAATTAATGTTTTAAAATATAATATTTAAAAATTTATATCGTTATAATTATGATGTGTGGCCGTGACCTTACCCCTGAGTGAGTATGTTGATGCTAATATATTTAAGTTACGATAAAAAAAATGGAGGCAATATCAGATTTAAGGCAAAAGGTATTTTGACATCAAGTCCTTTTTCACTATACCTAGTT